CGGAAGTTATGCCTCATGACAAAGAATACCACAGAGATGCAGGGCCCTTCTCACCCAGCTTATGAGAGCACAGGATGCTGGTATGTTCTACTGTGACGTTAACTTTGGTCACTTTGTTAACATGGCATCTGTCAGAATTCTCTACTGTTAATATTTTTCACCAAATATTTTGGTGGCAATCCTTCGAGACTAAAAACATCCTGTATTTGTTTAAACTTTTACATCACTAATTTTAGCAACAATGGATCTTGCTGTGGCAATTATTACTTGAATGTTTTACACATACACACACACACACACACACACGCACACACACACACACACCACATACACTCAGGTCATCATGTGCAAACTGCAAGAAACAAAAAAAAAAAAAAAAAAAAAGAGAGAGAGAAAATCTTAGAGCCAGCTAGAGAAAAAAGGAACATTACATTTATCATCAGAAGCCATATAAATCAGAAGACAGTGGTTTAACAGCATTAAAGTGCTGGGGAAAAAATTTTGTTTTAACCTGTCAAAACAGAATTATGAATCCATAAAAAGTGTCTTTCAGAAATGGAGAAGAAACAAGGACAATCTCCGACAAACACACACGGAGGGAATTCGTTGCCAGCAACTTTGCCCTACAAAAAATATTAAAGACAGTTCCTTAATATTTTAAAACAATGGGGAGAAGGAAAAACTCTTCCATGCAGAAGAATTTCAGTTAGCAAACTAGAAGGAGTTAGGAAAATGGAGAATGATCATTAGAGCACAAAGCAAATAACTTCAAGCCTCCTTCTCAAACCACTGTCAATCAGTTCACTCCAGTTAACTTGTACACAGAATAAGATTATTATTTATCCTCTCACTGTAGAAAAGATTAATGGTACTTTGAAAATCAGTGTCTTCCCATTTCACAATGTAGTTTATGGAGTTCAAAATATTACAATTATGAATGGCTAAGTCTTAAAATTGTGAAATGTTAGCAAGATAAAGATATTGCAAAACATTTCCTATTTTGAACATTTTAATTGGCTCAGCTGATACCAACATGAAAGGACTCTAGAACAGATATAAAGACTCTGGGGTTTTGACTTGGTATAAAACGCCCACCGAGACTGATAGCATTTAGAAATTGAGAAGAACCATTATTGTCACACAGTGAGGGAGGTGCTGGGTGCCAGGTGCAGGAGGAAAGCAAATAGGATGTTTTGTCATTGTCCCCCCAATCCCATTCCTGTAACCCAGCATGTAGGTCAACAGCACCCACTCCTGTGCAGTCCTGGGGGTCCCCAAAGCCTTCCCTGAGGATCGCCTCATTTGATCCTCTCAATAACTTGTAAGGAGCCAGCATTAGCTTTCCACATCAGAGAAAGGGGCTGGGGTTCAGTGAGCTTGACTTGCTCACACTCTCCCCCACTGGACGCCAAGAGCTGTCCTTCATGGTGCACTTGACCTCAGCAGCTGTGCTGTACTGAGCTATATGTATTCTGTTGCCCCAAATGTGGGATGTATGCCAGTGATTTGGATGGAATGTGGAACAATGTTCAGGTGTGGAATGAATTAACATCAAATCACATGATGAGAAAGTGATTCCCTTTTCGATTCTCTTCCAGTCCTTTTGGTTATATTATAGAGAAATTCTCTTGTACTGTGTGTCTTTATAACCTGCCTTACACCTTCTAATCTCTCTGGATGTGGAGGGGGGTGTTGTGGGTGTGTGTTACACAGTGAGACTGAGCCCAGGGATGCTCTACCACTGAACCATATCCCAGCACTTTTAAAAATTTACGTTGAGATAGGATCTCATCAACTTGCCCAGGCTGGGCTTGAACTTGTGATCCTCCTGCCTCAGCCTCCAGAGTAGCTACGATGTGCCATCACGCCAGTTGCTCTCTGTTTTTAATAAAGTGAGAAAAAGTCTAGGTTCAGAGCCTTTGCTAGGATACAGGATCTGGCTAGAATTAGTGACCCAGCTTGATCTTCATTTTGTCAATTCTCAAGTTACTATATTTCCCATTTGTGGCAAGTGATAAGAGTCTTTGATTTAATGTGACCAGGTTCCTTTTCTAAAACAAAACTAATTAAAAACTTGATGAAAATGTCGAGAAGATGCAGTAGCATTCAGGCATGGCACAACTTGGGCAAATGGCATGGGATCATGGTCACAAGAGAAACACGAAAGGCCAGGTCACAATTATGCATCTCAGAGAGCTCCAAGGCTGCCCAGCTGTGAGCCCAGCCACGTGTGCAGGCTGAGCACCTCCCAGAGATGGGGAGACTCTGGGCTCCAACGCACAGGAGCCTGGACACACCACAAAACCCTCTGTGGAGTCACTTTCCTCTTGGCCAGAAAGCTGCCTCCCATGGAGAGGCCAGAGGGTGACAGATCAGAGGACAGAAAAGAGAACCGGTGAGGAGGGCTGGGAGCACACTGAGTGGACAGGAGAAAACAGCAGCAGATGTTCCTTCTGTACAAGACGTCAGGACTCTCATTGCCCAGAAAGATGCACACGTGTGCACAACACCTGCTTTCTTCCACACCCAGGTGTGCGCCTGGAGCGATATTAGGGGACTAGTGGGTTCTAGGTTTTGAACTGCAGCTTTGACTGTTACTATCTAGAAATGTCCTTCTTGACCAGTCCATGCCCAGGAGTAACTATAGAGAGACTTCACTAAAGAAGGATTCTTAGTTTTGCAAATTTTTTTGTAAGTTCCTCTCATTTTTCCATCCACCCACCCACCCATCTATCTATCCATCCATCCATCCATCCATCCATCCACCCATCATAAGACACTGCACTTTTCTTCCTACACTGATTTTCAGATGTGTCCTCCAGGGACCCCTGACTCAGAAGAGGAGAATAGACTTGCTTTCTAAGACCCTAGGAAGATTTTCGGGAAATGTAAACTCAGTTTAAAAATTTTAGCATAAAAGTGTATGCCAGTTTTGCATCCTACTTATAAAAGTCTATGTGCTTTGATGTAATACCTCTGTAAAATCCTTTGTGAAGCTGATCCTGTCAGATTAACCTCGTTTACACTGCTGTGCCTTGGCTTCCTGGCACAGGGCCAAGGTCGCGGTGACTCACACTGAGATGCTTCATGCCATCCCTGGACCAGGAACATGGAGACCCAGAAACCCCTATGGGTCAGGCCCCAGCTGCTGTCAGTGCAGAGCCCAGGCGCAGCTTGGTCTGTGCTCAGAGATTCCTGATGAGGGTTCTGCAGCTGCAGCGGCTCTGGGAAGTTCCCCTTTAAGAGGGAAGCAGGTGATGATTTAAAATCTCTGCTCTGTAGCCACATAACCCCAAGTTCAAAGCCAATGTTGCCACTTACCAGACTTCTGCTATTGTAAAGAAAATAGCTGTTTTTGCAAACTGGTCGAAAAAGCAACTTGGCCTACAGAGGGAGTGGGAGGGAGGATGGGGGGCTGTGCGGAGTGGCTAAGAACCTAGGTGGCCTGGGTTCCTTCCCCACTTGTACACCACCACCCTAAGACCACAGTCAGGGAGCAGTCCCTTATGCCCCTGTTTCCTTGGGTTGAAAACAAGCAGGTTGGAGGAGATGGCTGCCAAGGGTCCTACAAGCTCACTTGGGCTCTGCTCAACCTTCCCGTTTCACCAGGCTTTGGTTTCCAGCCTGGTATCCCTTACCAGCCCATCTCTCCAGATCACTTCTCAAAGCACAGCGGGTAGCTGCTCTTATCTTGTAAAAGCAACAGCTATCGACTGGCATCTCCTGAAGTGTTTTCTGCTGCATCTAGGAAGGTCAAAAGTCTCGTTCCTATTATGGATTGTTTTTTTAAATTATTTTTTTTTAGATGCTGATGAACCTTTATTTTGTTCATTTATTTGTATATGGTGCTGAGAATCGAACCCAGTGTCTCACACATGCTAGGCAAGCACTCTACCACTGAGCCCCAGCCCCAGCCCCTAGTAAGGATGTTTTAAGGATAAATACAACTAGACCTGCTACAGTCTCGGAAGGTCGAACTGCAACAGATTAGACAAGAAAAGCCAAATTTCATTATTGGGCCTTGAATGTTTCTCCAGCCAAGACTCTCTAAGAAGATGATCATATCCCTAAGGCCAATTTCCTGTTCCCTTTTTCCCCTGAGTGCAACAAATGTCTATTTAATTAAGCACATCCCCTCTGCTATTCACAATGAGGACCCATGGAATCTTAGTTAATAAAATGAGAATTTATTAAATTTTCAGTTCTAATAAATAGTCAGTCATTATCTCTGCAGTGGGCCCCAAGCCCTGGTAAAAATGAAATGATCTAAGTGACCATTCAAAGAGGAAAAGGTTAAAGTGTGTTCTTCAGTTACAAAAGTGACTTTCTCTCTTGCCCCCCTCCATCTTGAGGCAGTTTAAACACCTGAAACCAAATTCAGTTTTCTTATCACACCGAGGTCTCAAAGACACTTCCACCAAACATTCTGGTCTTAAACAGAAAAGGAAAACAAGCAGAAAACAAAACAAAACAAAACCCTAAGAAGTGTGCAGAAAGAGCAGACTAGTTATTCTCCCTATTTATGGAACCACTGATAAATCTGCTTGGAAGGATGCCCCGCCCCAAATCCCCCCAAAACCAAAAAACCAAACCAAACCACCCTAGTCCTGGCACGTTCTGGAACATTCTTTCCCTTTTCTTGAAGGGGCTAGGTGAGGCAGAGAACGTCTCCTTTCAGTGTTCTAGGGAAAGAACTAGAGTCTTGCAGGTTTTCATTTCTAAATGAAAACAGTGGAGGGGGGTGGTTTGCGGGGAGAATCAGGCTCAAAGTCAACCTTATTTCCCTTGGGCAGTGAAAACTTGGGGGAAAGATAAGTGACAATACAGTGTCTTCTGTGATTCATTGAGAAAAGACTGGATTTAGGCAGGATGGGTCAAGGTAAAGAGTCGGGCATGGGGCTTCCAGTCCCCCCCAGCCCTGGACGGTGGTTCTTGGTGGGGGCCAAGGTCAGATTTCCAAAGGTGGGCCTGGGGGACCCGATGGGAAGGGGCCCGGGGTGGCCGTGGAGGGCCAGCGTCTCCTGCTCCAGTCCCCGCCAGGCCTCGCGCCCGGCAGCAACCGGTCCTCTACCTGTCCCCGCTGGTCTCTGCCAACCTGTTGTTCATGATGGCGAAGGCGCCCACCCCGCCCGAGAACTCGTCCTCCTGGGACGGCGCGCCGGCCTGGTGCGGGCCGCCGTTGGCCATCTCGGACAGCTGCTTCTGCAGGATGGCCAGCGACACCTTGCTGGAGTCCTTCATGGAGATCATCTCCCCCGAGAGCCGCCGGCCGTCCGTGTCGCTGTCGGCCACGCCGTCCGTCTCGGTGGAGATGTCGCCCGGCGGGTGGCGGACGTTGCCCGGGGTGACCGCGTTCCTGCGCGACCGCGCCAGTCTGCGGTGGCACGGCTGGACGCAGCGGCCGTCCACCTTCCTCAGGATCCAGTTCACCGTCTGCTTGATGAGGATGGAGATGACGTTGAAGAGCGAGTAGATGCAGCACACGCCCGTGAGGATGAAGACGAAGTTGGCCAGGCGGTAGAGGCCCTGGCTCTCGTACTGCGCGCCCTGGCTGCTGACCAGGTCCCCGAAGCCGATGGTGCTGAAGGCCACGAAGCAGAAGTAGAGCGAGTCGAAGTAGCTCCAGCCCTCCATGGGCGCGTACACGGCCGACGCCCCGCAGGACACGAGCACCGAGGCCGAGCACAGGATGAGCATCACGTAGTACACCGAGGGCTTCCAGCCGGCCAGGCTGTCCGCGCCCCGGCCCGCCGCCTTGAGGCTGCCCGCGGGCAGCGCCCCGCGCCTGCGCAGCTGCCGCTGGTGGCACGACCGCATGATGTAGGCGATGACCGTGATCAGCCTCTCCAGGAAGAGGTTGAAGAACAAGATGGTGCTGGCGCAGCCGATGAGGCCGTAGAAGATCAGAAAGATCTTTCCTCCTACGGTCGCTGGAGTGGTCATCCCAAACCCTGAAGGACACAAAAAATCAGAGGAGAGAAGGGTGAGAGGGGTCTGGCCTGAAAATGGGGTCAGGGTCTGGGCTTGGCTGGCTGGCAGAGGACCGAAAGGAACCCTCTGTGCAAACCGAAGCCTCCTAGCCTTTGTAGGAACCAGCAGGAGAGTGCTGGCCTCCTTTGGAAGAGGCTGAGCTGGGTTCCGAGCACAGAGCTGGGCTGCTGAACATCCAGGTGGGGCAACTGGGCCAGCACAAGAAGGCACCTCTGGCTCAGGGTGGATACAGCCAGCAAGAAATGGCTTGGTGACGACACTGTGGGCTGGACTTGTGAGATGGCCTTGTACAGTAGGAACCTGAACATCCACACCCATCAGGCCTTGTCCCTAGAGATAAGCAAATATTCACACACAGAAAAGGCTGATAGAGACTCATCTGAAGTCATTTGTTGTACGAACACTTGCAGAGCTGGAGACGGAACGGTGGGCAAGACAGATCTGGCCCCTGTGCTCCTGGAGCACTAACTGGTTCAGTGAGTGTACACCATGTGGTGGGTCTTGTGCTGGAGGACTACAGGGCTCTGTGGAGCTGCTATGAGGACGTCCCATCTCCGGCTTGGGGTTCTGGAAAGATTACGAAGGCAGTTAGGCAGACAGGAGAGGGCACGTGTGAGCGCAGGGGATGGTTCCCACAGAGAAACAGCAGGCGCCAGCAAAGGCAGAAATGAGAAATTCGCTCCAGATTTTCCCATCTTTTAAACAAAGCCCTTTGACTCACACCTTATGCTCTTGCACCGGGTTGATAGTTGGATGAAATACACAATCTCCCTCTTGCCTTTGCCTCTCACTGCGCTAGTTCCACCTTCTTGACTTCGCTACCTGGGCACACAGGTGCGCCGCTAAGAATAGGCATCGAGTGGGACAGTGAGCATCGTTAGGAACAACAGAATCGGAGAGACGGTGGTGACACGCAGCCCTTCCACTTGTGGCCGCGAGGGCCAGCCCACCTTACTGGAGGGACATGGGCTGCTTCCCACGAGCGACGAAATTCACCACGGAGAAGGCTGCTTTGTGGGGAGGACGGGCATCAGAGCCACCCTGAGTAAAAGCACCATAAAAGCTGAGTACTGAGCATGCTCCGGGGCTCAGGTTCTCAGTGGAGTGAAGCCTCCTTCTTTCCATTTGTTTTTACTTCACTTTCAAGTTCAGTTCCTTGAGCCCATGTTGGGACCCCAAGGACTCACCCACTGTCCTCTTTCCCGATAACCGCCCCCTACGATCTGTCTCCTTGTCACTACAGCTCCACTGTGGCTGCCTGCAGTGCGCCCTGGGGAGTGGCCAGAGTGGATCTTGAAACGTGTGGGCTTCTGGGACGTGACCTCCTGGGCTCCGAGGTCGAGTCCAACGCCCAGATGTGTGCACTGTTTTGTCGTTTTGTTTCTAGCTGAATTCAATTGTCTCTTCTCAGCATCTGAGGAGCTGCATTTGGCTATGAAATGAACAGCATGTGACCAAGAGAATAGAAAGACGTGCTGAGCTCAGCTTCTCAGCTGGATGGGATGACGTGGAGGACCGAGGGCCAGGGAACAACCCACTGAGGGTCAGTTAGGACCCTTAATGGTAGGGAAAAAAAATCAGACCATTATCTCTTCTTTGGAAAATGTTGTTTTCAAAATCAAAGGCCCTTACTTGCTAAGTGTCCTTTGTGTAAAGATGTCCCAGCGGCCCAGGAGGCTGAGACAGGAGGATCGCGAGTTCAAAGCCAGCCTCAGCAATGGCGAGGCACTAAGCAACTCAGTGAGACCCTGTCTCTAAATAAAATACAAAATAGGGCTGGGGATGTGACTCAGGGGTCAAGTGCCCCTGAGTTTAATCCCTGGTAACCCCCCCCCCCCCAAAAAAAAAAGAGATGTCTATTGGGTTTGCTCCCTTTTCTCTTGTTAGAATCTTTGATTCTCATCCCCAGGCTCAGGTTGCAGTGAAGTCATGGAGAGCTGAGTCTCATGGCTCCAGGGTCTGGAGTCTCAAGGCTGAGCTGAGAGCCGTGTCTCTTTCCACCCAATTCAAAAGAGCACTGAGGAGTCAACCATGGCGTCCAGTCATTAGTTCCTGATTTTCTGAGGAACTTGGAGTCACTTCCACTGGCTCAGTGAATTTCTGCAGCCAGAAAATCCCCAACTTGCTGACCCCTCTCACCCGGCTTGGAAGATGAAGAAACAAAAGAAGACAGGAGCCCCTTGCTTCAAAGCTGGAAGACCAGAGAGGGCTGCTGCTCTAGTCCCTGAGAACAGCAGACCAGGGCAGAAAAGGGGAACACCCTCACCCAGGCCATTTTAATAAATCCAGAGGCTGGATAAAGTGAAGGGAATCGGGGGAGATTCAGGAGCAGTAAGCGGGGCGCAGGGGCACCTGAGCACCACGGGGACTTGCTCTGCACCCCGCTCCTGTCTGAGGGAGGACTCAGTCTCTCTGGCCTTGGGAAGCAGAGCCAGGGGAGTTGTTGTGACTTAGCTCCCAGCCACGGGTGACAGCCATCCTCCACTGAGCTCCTGTTGAAGGTCTCCCCCAGCCTCTCTCACCCCTCTCACCCATGCTGGGTGTTGCGGTTGGCCCATGGAGTGCTGGTGTGTCCCCAAGGGCTGTTGGGTGAGGTTTAATCTAACTGTGGTGTTTAGAATTGGGGCCTTGGAGGTGACTGGGATTAGATAAGGTCATCAGGGTGGAGCCCCTTGATGGAAGGAGGGGGAGAGAGAGATTGTGTGTGCTCAGCAGAGACTCACATACATGCTTCCTGTTTCTTACCGCACAATGCCCTCAGCTGACTTAGGACTCCCCGGCAGGAAGGCCTTAAACCACATGAGGCATCTCAACCTTGGACCTGCAGAATCGTGAGCCAAAATAAACCTCTTTTCTTTATAAGGGGACCTGGTCTTGAGTATTTAGTTACAGTAATGAAAACTAGATTAACACACATTTTGACAGGAAAAAAAAAAAAAGACTGTAGAAGGTAAGGAACTTGCCTAAAGGCACAGAGCCAGAATGAAAACCAAGATGGTCTTGTCTGCCAGGCCTGGGCTTATCCACCTGACTCTGCTAATTGAGTGCAGGCCACTGTCAGGCATACAGGCCAGAAGCAGAAGCAGCATGGAAGGAAGGAAATTAACCAAGCATCTACAGTTTCACCCTCTCTATAGATATCAGACCATAAGGGCTGCCAAGTCTGGTATCCAAACCAGGGGGGATTAGCTGGCATCAGAAGCTGAAAACCTATGATTTTCACTTACTAAAACACAAGCTTCTGGATGTATGTGTGTTTCTTCCAACAAATGACATAATGAGACCTGTTTATAAACCCGTCACACCCCACGCCACTTGTGCTTTCCTTTATTTCACAGACTCACAAACGGAACTGATTGCCCCAGGTGGCACTAGCAAGGAGTGATCTATTCCCTTCATGCCTGAGTCACTGAGTCTGGGAGCAGCTGAGCCGATCGAGGCCCAGGGATGCATGAGTTTTGTCTGGAGGCCGAGGTTCCCTGAACCTACTTCAGACCTGTGTTCATGTGACCACAGCCTCCAGGGCAGCTTCGGGACCAATCCAGGCTCCCCCTTGTCCTTGGGGCTAGGAAGGAAGCTACTGGGCACTGCCAAGGTGGCAGTCAACCTCCGTGGAACCCCTCACTGAGACCATGAAGAGAAGAACAGGCCTGCAGTCTTCTAGTCTTAAATGTATATGCTGTTAACCAGACAGTCTTTTTCCAAAGTTAATCAAGGTGAAAAGTTTAAAAGCTTTGTATTATGATATTTTTCAAACATACAAAGTTAGAGAGAATAGTTAAATGTGCCTTCATTTCTCAGGCTTGGCAATTATCAACATATTGCCAATTGTGTTAGTCAGCTTTCTATCACTGTAACAAAATGCCTGAGAAAAATAATTTATAAGGAGGAAAGGTTTATTTTGGCTTGTGGTTTCAGATCATGGACAGTTGGTCTGTTTTGGGGGGCCTGTCATGATGAGAGTGCTTGGTGGTAGAAGCTGCTCAACTCATGGTGGCCAGGAAGCAAAGGGTAAGACTAAGGGGCCAAGATCCTATAACCCCCTTTGGGGGAATTCCCCCAGTGAGCTAACTTCCTCCCTCTGGGCCTCACCTGCTAAAGTCTCCACCCCTCCCAATGATGCATTTAGGTCTCTGGGGGACACCCAGCTCCCCATCCCAGCCCACTCCTTTATTTGCTATGGTATTTTAAAATGAATCCCAAACAGCAGGCCACTTTGTCCATTAATAAAGATGCATCTGTGACTTCCTGGGACCTGATTTCCCAACATCAGCACAGTGACACTCCTAATTAAACCAACGCTAAATCCTTCACTTCTAATAATGCCCAGCCCATGCTAAAACGTCTCTTTATAGATCACTGGGACGGATCAGGACCCCAACAAGGCCACACTGAGTGTCTCTGCTGACTCACTGATTTCCCTTCCTATTTTAATGCAATTGATTTGTTGGGTCAATGCAGACTGTAGACTTGGCTCAGAGTTTTTTTTCTAGAGACAACTGGGGGTGGGTGGGAGGAGAACACCTGTGTGTTATGAACGTGCCCCGTGTGTATCGTCAACCCTCAAATGCTTCTTGGGGACACAGAAAGAGGCCCGCACTGTCTGCGAGTGATTTGGCAGAACGTCCTTAGAACTATCTGCATCCTCTTCTGGTTTTTTGTTCTTAGGAACCCATCCCCCGTAATCAGACACGTGACTGGTTCTGCATGGGGACACCTGCCACGTCTGGACTTTTAATGATAAAACTGTGACATCAGAGACAGGGAGTGACTCGGGGAAGCAGTCGTGGACATGGTCCACATGTCACATCCCGAAGCCTCAAAGTGCCCCTTCCCTGCAGCGGCCCATCTCCACACGCCACGTTCCAGGGCATGACGTGGCCCCTTCATGTTTCCGCCACCTCTTTCTAGGACTGGCTCTTCCAGGCTGCCCAAGACATCTCAACTGCTCTGATGCTCT